AAATTGGTTTCTATTTTCAACGTACCGGGTGACAAGGTCACGGGTCAAAATCAATCGAAGATGTGATACAAATAATGATGATGGCGCGAGGAGCGATCTCAGATGTCTAAATGTTGGGCATCAATAGCATTCATGAAATAGTCTACGTGAATCAGGCATACAGAAAATTCTAAGTGCGCCACAAGTTGACTTGTCCATTTCTATCATCTTCTCTTTCTGATCATCCATCAATTTCATCACCGTATCTCTCCTCCTTCCACTCATCCACTCTTGTTCTCCTCCCTCTTTTCTCGTCTACTCATCTCATCCGAATCCGTCCTCTCCACTCCCGTCACCACGTCTACAACCTCAATCTCTGGCCCCGAAAACCTCTTTCGAGCAGTCGTTCCCCAAGTCCCCGCCGCTACCATCATAATCACACCTATAGCCGCTGAAGTATAATTCATATTCTCGCTCGTAACCGGATACACCGATGGAAAATTAAAAGTAATACATGCGAAAAGTAAATACGCCAGACCAATCCCATTAACCATTAATGAGACGACTGGTCTCATCGCCCAAGGACCTGTAAGTTGTCGATGCGATCCATTGATGTGAGATATTATGCGCACGAGAAGAGGCATAGCGTATGAAAGATAAAATCCCTCTGTCGCAATGGCGATTACAGTATTAAACCCTGTTACTGTGCCAAAATATATGCTGTTAAATGCCATTTGTACTATAGTCCCAATAATAATAGCCACAACGGGAACTTGATGCTTGGCGCTCACTTTACTGATATGGCTCGAAAATGGAAGTCCATGATCTCTAGCGAATGCGTAAAGACTTCTACTTCCTTCCGCAAGCAGTGCGTTGGAAGATGCGACGTTGATGACTACGATCATGGATGCTAGGAAACATGCTGCGATGTGACTGTTGGTTGAATCGGCGTAGATTTGGATTAGAGGAACCAGCGTCGATGTGTTAGCAACAGCATCAATATCGCCAACGCAGAAACAAACAGCGATCAAGAAGATGAACCCTGTGATGGCTCCAATGTAGACGGAGAGAACCATCGCGCGAGGAGCTTCTTTGGAGGCATCTTTTAACTCTTCGGTCATGTGGGATGGCGCATCATCTAGTCGGGCATTTTGTGTTAGCCTGGTGGTGATTCAAATGAAGCCGGGCAATTGGCGGAGATAGTAGAGAAAGCCATGATAAAGGCAGCGTGGTAAGAAACACTTACAACAACACATGCCGAATGCCGGCTGTAATATTCCAATAATACCAGCCATGGCCGTCCCAAATCCCGTAAAATTCTGAAAGTCTTGAAAGACAAAACTAGCGCTTTGTTTATTGGTGTTGCATGCTAAGATAGTGACAACCGTCACAATAAAGGAGGCGATATTGAAGACAAGCGCAACTGTAGATACTTTGTCAAGAATTTTCGAGCCCCACAAATTGACGAATGTTGCAATGAGAGTCACTGCCCAAGCTACCAAAACCGTGTGCCACCGCTCAATTACGTAGGATGGATTAACGAGATTCGCTTGGCCCAGGATAAAATTTGCGCCGATGAAACTGTTCGTTGCGCCCATGGCAAGAATACCTATACGCGTACCACAAAACGTCAGTCATAATCGTTGCTATGAAAAACAGGGAACATGGGGTCAAGTTTCATGGAAGGTCATGAGATGGTTCTTTGGTATCACTTTTCATCTCAGGTACAACTAAGATTCGATGCTAATATGATGAGACAGAATATGATGAGACAGAATATGATGAGACAGAATATGATGAGACAGAACATGATGAGACAGAATATGATGAGACAGAATATGACTGACCGATGATCATAAACCATCCCGTAAGATAGGAGAATTGTCTCCTCACCGATTTCGGTGAGAGAATATAGACCCATGAGTATTGACCTCCGGCGACGGGGTACTCAGAACACATTTCTGCCATGGAATAGACGACACAGAGGGAAACAAGACTGATGCCTACCCAGCCCCAAATCATCTGCATAAACAAATAATGTTAGTTCGAGTCGTATAGCAGATAACTTTGTCATTCTTGACAACTTCATATGTCTCGGACGTCGTGGAACATGTTTGGGGCTATGTTTGCAATACCAGCGCAGTGCAATGTATGAACATCCTCGAGAATCAACTGAGATTCTCAAAATCGACCCATAGATAGGAGAATTAAGCCTGGATTTGGAGGCATGGTAAGATCTGAGTGAAAAATGTGAAAGGTTACTCACTACCGGTGGACCACCAGCATTGACACCTGTGACAAGCACACCACCGAGGGCACTCCAACTGCACGAAGCCGTTAACAAGCGTTAAGCGTCCCATCTTGCCACGTTTTTCTGCTCCAAGGTTGCAGCGCCGGTGCCGATCACCGGTGTTGGGATTTAGAGAATGCACAGCATACGCAGAAGAACACTTACCTCGTAACAATGGAAAAGGAGAAACCAATCATGCCCAAGAGACCGAAAGATCGCTTGAGCTCTGAAATTATGCTTATCAGCAGATGATCAAAAATGACGGCATGTGTAGATGGTACGCCAACTAGATAATCAGAACATGAGGAAATCAACTTACCCGGACGATAACCCATATTTTCTAGGGCGGCATCTTCGGCCACGCCTGGAGGGAAGACTTTTCCCACAACCCCTTCTTCTGTCATCTTGTTCCTCGCAATGAAATGCAGATACTCGAGGTCAAGATTTCCAATACCACAGCTTTGGAACAGGGTGGTGGCAATTTCCAAGATATGTTGTACTGTTGATTAAGGAGTGGAGAGACATATGACCGAGGATACAACCCAAGGTATTTATAAACTCATCCAGAACATCTTGCAAGAAATCTATACCTTATCGGGATCATATTGACGGGTATGAGGAGAAGTTGGATGGGGAGGACGCAACTTTTGATGCAACATTACAACTGCCGGGGTGACTGTGAAATAGCCATGTTAGACTTTTCCCTCGTCGAATGATATTGACTTAGCTAACTAGGACTGTAGTGTGGGATGTCATTGAGATACAAAGCTGAGATAGATATGAATTTCTATCTTGTCATTTGTATCCGATAGCAATCTCTATATCAATTTGCTATCAATATCTCATCTATCACGGTTCCCTCCGGCAAACCCATGATGGTGCTTCGTTTATGCATGTTTGTATCTAGCACCTTGTCTTGAATTACCGTATCGGAGAAAAAAATGAAGAATGAGGAACATTTTTCTCGATGAGCGTTGGATTATCTGGTTGATAGGGTCATGATTGGGGAATGGATTGGTCCGGGGCAAACGATGCTAGGATAATTTTTTAGGCTTATCTGTGGCTTGCCCGCAATACTCTCCACAAGACGATCTTTTTTAAGCGTTTTATTCCGTTGTTCATCAACATAAACTTATTACGTTTCGTTATTTTCTCGTGATATGGCAATCTTACAAAGAAGATGGTACTACGACTGGCTTCGTCGACCTTCGAACTTGCTTTTTTTCTTGCCTGTAGATACATGAATGGAAATGTACTGCCCGGAATCTTGGTTATGATATTACTTCTTTCGAATCGGATAACCTCCTCGGCCGCCTCAATCTACAAACAAGACACACCGCAGACGCCATAACGTGGTTTGGTCTTGATGTACGACTTGAGCTCCATCTAATATCAATGAAAACTGCCTCCCTACCCTTGAAGTCCGAGGTGCGAAAAATATTAGATACAAATCTGAAATGTGATAGAACTCATCATCGTAACACGATTGAATTGCAAGGAAGTATTGATTGATTGTTTTCAAACAAATCGAGAGGGATGTTGCATACCTCCGACCGAAGATGGCCGAGTCTCATCATTTGCTCATCGGCATCAATATCACGCGTTGCCTCTTGTGCTAAGTATATTGAAAATGCACACGAAACATTCCTTTTGAGCCCATCGCTCTTTTGGTTCAGGCGAGTGCCAACAATGTTACCAGCGTCCAATATTGAGCTTCAATGTTGGAACCTCTCAGCTCAAGCTGTTGAGCTAACTAATTCGTACGAAGAGCCCCCTTCTCGACGCTCTGAACATTTGCCGTTTTTCTCGGCCCCACAAGATTCATCGCCGCGGGGAAAAAGGAGAAGGGAATTGCTTCAGCAGGCTTTTTCTTCCGTCGGATATCTACATGGGACCTACGCAAGGTCCAGCGCCATTCTTCTTTTCCATTATTCATTCTGGTGAAACGAGACGGGAACCTGCACACCGCCCAACATCTCATTCGATGAATCTTTTTTCCCCCTTCAATACTAATCCGAAATTCTGGTTTGTACTACATGTACTGATCTACAATTAAGTAGGACCAAAATATCGGCTGGGCTAGTACACCCATTCCAGAATCTGCAAGATTCCCGCATGTACTACCCCGGATTTTTGCACTGCAGGTAGGTAGCAGAGCAGGCTTGTGCAGAATCTCACCAAATAGACGACTGACTTGGATGAGTAAATGTCGTAATACAATTTCAAGGAAGGGAAGTTGGGACTTGTCAAATTTTTTTGATACTCTACGGAGATTCATTCTTAGTCAATTGAATCAATCAAAGCCAGCATGACTATATGCCTGCAATGAGCCGTAAATGATGATTGCTTCACTTGAAGTTTTACGCCATGATCTTTGGAGCTTCCCCCAATGTGTTCGTGGGTACCCGTGGCAGGAACAAGATCCAGCTGTACCTGCAGTCAGTACATGATCGGACTTTTGACTTGACCTATCAAATTCAAGAAGCTTGTCAGATTAAGATATGTATCAACCAACAAGTCGAATTGATATAGTATACATAACCTATCTCTTATTCAACATATTATACTCTGCCATCTTTTTGTTTGTTGTTTTCAGCTTGATTATAAGATACTCTCTTGGTTCAATCTGTCATTCCTTCCTCATCTGGCTGAATCCAACTTTGGTCGAATAAGCACCTCTGCTTAGTCGGGTTGTGCTTAGTCGTTGACCCCTACATAAGATATTTTCAAAATGGAAGGACCAAATGGCCCAAGTCTTTATCAACAAATCATATCGTCTTCGCAAAACACTCCTTCGTCAATCAACATTCATACCAATTCTTCTGCCATTCTTCCAATTGTTGAACCTCATCATCAAATTCTTTCCAAAGTTCGTACCAATGGTGATGCATCATTAACTTCAGAGAAGATTTACGACGAAATTGATGAGTTGAAATTCGAAATCAAAACTCGAGCAGCTACAGCAGTATCTGCAGCAAACATCAAAGCTGTTAAATCCAAGAGATCTTCATTCATATCAAAAATTCTCAATTTCCATCGAAATCCACCACATTCACTTTCAATACAAAGCCACTGCCAAAATTTCAGAATGTCTCCCTCTGCTTTACGAGAACGAGGAGCTGTTAATATCGAACATCGTCCTGCTGTGGTATGTCCGCAAAGATACACCAAGCTACAGGCCGTACCTTACAAGTGGCCTCATGACGGTACACTGAACAGATCTACCACCGCTTTAGTCATTATTGACATGCAGAAAGATTGTAAGTTTGAAATTCTCTTCTCTTTTCCGTTGTTGGGCGTACATAATCCATGTGAGGCATATCACAACACCCCCTTCATATAAGCATGTACTACCTAGGTAGAATGCCGATAATGAATCCTGCATAGTATTTATTATTCATAGGGAAGCTCAGAGACTCCAATGATTCCTCTTGCATTTGATTTCAGACCCCTTTACCATGGATACAAATCAAATTTATGCGCACCTACTAATTTTATTCCACTGCAGTTGCTTCCGCCGAGGGATATCTGGCAAAGCAAAGCATTGACAATAAGCCAATTCTCGATATTGTTCCCAACATTCGAAAACTTCTCGACACTTGCAGAGCCAAAGGATATCCAATTTACCACACGCGTGAAGGCCATCGGCCTGATTTGTCCACCCTTTCCGAGCGTGAGAGGTACCGTTCAAGAAATAATTCATCTGGACTTGGTATTGGTGATCGCGGCCCACTGGGACGTCTTTTGATCCGTGGGGAGAAAGGACATGAGATTATCGATGAATTGGCGCCTCGGTCAAATGAGCCAGTTATTGATAAGCCAGGTCGAAGCGCTTTCCAACACACAGAGTTCCGGCTTATGCTCAATATCAAAGGTATCAAGAACCTGATCATATGTGGTGTAACAACGGACGTTTGTGTAACGAGTACAATGAGGGATGCCAATGATAACAACTTTGATTGCGTCTTGGTGAAGGACGCGTGTGCCGCCGGCGCCCTCGAAAATCATGAAAGTGCTGTCGCATCGATTACCGAAGAAGGAGGAATTTTTGGCGCTGTTACAACCGTAAGAGATGTTTTGAATGGGCTGGGAGCTGGGTCGGCTTTGAAGAAGCACAAGGATGGATTCCAGGCTTCCAATCCAGAACCAAAATTGGCACAACACTTCAAAACCGTCTCGAAGACTATCATTGGTGACAATCCATCTTCCGATTTGGGGAGAGAAGATTCTGAATTGTCTAACTCTGAGCCAATCATGGAACATGAAAATGCGGCATTGGGGGAAGATCATGTAGCGAATGAAAGGGATAAATATTCGCGACGTTCCACACGCACCCGTAATAGATCCAAGAAGCGCAAGACTATTCTACCCGACTACGGAGGCAAACACTAGTGAAGAAAGTGACGAGATGCCTAAACTACTTGTGTGGCAAGCAAGTTACATGATGTGACTTTTATCTGTTATCTGTATGGACTTGCAGAAGTAATTATTGGTGTGTTTCGAGGTGGTTTGAGATGTTTATCAATTTTGTAAGAAGGCCGTTAGAAGTATAGATATGGAAATAGAGGAAACGAAGAAAAGAAGTGCCGGCAATGCAGCGAAAAGGGAATAGTTTTTGGAAACTAGGGCGTTGAGTTAGAACCGAGGTGAGGAAACTTTGCTGTCCTTGGGCTGCTAGCGATGGCATTTCATAGGAGGATCGGATTGTGGAGGTGAATGCTCATTACCCAAGAGCTTTTTGTCGTTTGCTTCTTTGAACCTTTTGAATAGGTTAGGTTAGTGAGGCCAATTCGGTCAACGTTGATATTGCTCTCGTGAGGGGGTGAATATTGGAATGTTAGTAGCAGTATAGCATCGAAATGAATCTCACATTACACGGGAATTTACCGACCAACTCTGAGATGGTCACTCTAGATCTAAATCTGAAGAAGTCTAGTCAAAGTATCATTGCGCATCGAAAAGTTTCTATCATATCATCATTAAGTATTGACACTATTCCGTAGGAGAACCTAAAAGCTGAGGCAGTCTAGTCAGTAGTACTTTTACTCGCGAACTTGTATCTCCCCCAAGGAGGATCATATTTCAATTCCAACAACTTTCTTTCTGATTTTAGTATTGGCAACGTAATAAATCGGCTTGTTGCAACAATATGAATATCTGATTTTCCTTTCGTACCAGGACATATTTTATCTTCATTGAAGTTCCGTCTAATCTTTCTCCATTATTGCCTAGTTGTTTAGTTTTTCCAAGCAGAGCGGAATGCTCAAAGTTCTTAATACATGAAATTAGCGCGTACGACGACTGTTCATAATTTAATATGACTATTTGTATATCAGTGAATATAGCAATTTCGGGGCGAGCTAGCTCGCCAGTGTTTCGGAGCGCCTAATATTTTCTATTGTTTTATATCATTCTTATTATTCTTATTATTCTTATTATTCTTATTATTCTTATTCAATTATATATATAATATATTCCTCAGCATAGAAAAATAACATACTCAGCAACACAACAGAATATACTGAAACGATCACGAATCAACTATATCTAAGGGCCTTACAGGAGGCTCCCCCATACCGCTAGTGATACACACCCCCGGTACACCGAGTAGCTTTCCAGTGTAAGAGGCGATTGTCTTTTAATCAAATATTATTATCTTAAGGATAAGTATTATCCCTCTACTAATTATAAAATCGCTTATAGGCTTTGCCCTTGATGTAATTAAGGATCAATTTAAAAGGATTGATAAAACAGAAAAGGAGAAATAAAAGATAATCGAAATGTTTATAGTATTAGTGGATAAGCTTGCATAAGGCTTTCAGAATCAATAATGTAGATTTGCAATGAATATTAAAGAAATGATTATTTTTATATTATTGAGAATAGCAAAAGCTATTTCTAATCAATAGATAAAGCCTATAATAGAGTATTCACATCTAGAAAGCAATAAGCAAAAGACTTATACTGATATACTGAAAACTCTAATAATGTCTGAAGCAGAAAACCCTACTAAGGCCCCCATTAATATAGAATGCCCTGTTTTTATTGAAGGAATGAATATTAAGTATACAGAAACATACAGATTCAAAAAGGAGAAGGATTGAATCAAGAAAACGATTCTTATAATAGTTAATGGAAAAGCTCTACTCTTAAAGACAAATCTCTTTCTATTAAGACTCAGAATAAAAGAGACAGTTATTGGATTTATATTAATAGAAATCCTTTTTCTTTAAAGGAATAATATAAACTAGATTCTATAATACAGTTTTAGTGCTAGTTGGGAGGAGATTATAAAAGCAGATAACTCTAAATGGATATTTAAGATCCTTTGTGTAATAAGTATATATAGATTAGAGAAGTGGTTTATATATACAGTTTTATAAGTATTTTATGATTTTTATTATATCAAAGGAGCTTTTGTTTCTTTATTTAATAAACTTATTAAAGAAGAGATTACAGCTTAGATTAACAAATAGTCAATCAATTATTAATTGGTATATAATAGGGTTAATTTAATCATTAAAAGAGTTATCTGGATTATTGATTTTAATATTATTATATTGCGATTCTAATTATTCAATAGTAGCTCCTATTTGGTTCTTTTAAACAAATTCTAGGAAATTTAACTTTATAGTATTAGCTGCTTAGAGTATTATAATCCCTTTATTTGTAACAAAGTCTTATAATGTTCAATATATAGTAAATTAAATATTGAGTATAAGAATATACTTATATATTAATATAACGCTAAAAGTAATATCACCGATAGTATTAAGCTAATTGGGTTTATATAGGCATATTCTCTCGTGACAATTAATAATATATCAGAGCAGCTTAATATATTAATTACTATAGATCCTTCTATACTAACCACTTTAATTACCTAATTGCCTTTAGGGTCTATACTAAATAATAAATTGTTCTGATTGTAAAGGAATTGACTATAATTAGAATTATTAGCAAAAAAGATTATAAGATATTATATAAAATAAATACAAATAAAATAAAATATACCCCTAAATTACCTTTACCTTTTATAATAATAATTACAGAAACCCTGATCACTTTGGGAATAATAATTATAGTATATAAGAATGAATGCTTTAATAAGTGTTTATGTAGGCTTAGTGCAAGTCTATCGATTATACTAATTGTATTACGTATACACTCAGCTCACAACTAGAGCTAATGGAATTTCAATATAAAAGTACTAGCAGAAAAAGCCTTTATTTTAATAGATCTGGAGATAATAAATATAGAAAACTTGATAACAATTAATATTATATCTAGACTCTTTTTATAAGTAATATAATCAATAAGTATACTTAAAGAAATAAAGGCCTTATTATCGCTTAAGCGAATATAAGCCAAGGATACAAGAATTATATCATATTATTATAATTAGCAATGAAAGCTCAATTAAATATGATTTGTATATAGGAGCTAAGACTATACTGAAATTCAATAATACAAAATTATAACATATATAATCGATATCAGTCAATCAACAATTGAAACCTTTAAAGAGACTTGAAAGAGAACAAATAAGATCCTAGGATTATAATATATATACAAAAAGATACAAATCTGAAAATAGAGTAAATGAAATAATTTGAAAATAGAGATTTATTTTGGATACAAATTAATAAATATTTAATTCTAAATATTTATAGAGCTTTATATACTTTAAATATTATTAATTATATTATATATCTGGTTTTAAATAAGTATATAATTGTAGGAGGGGATTTTAATGTAAAGTACGATTTATGGGAATTGGGGATGATTATAGTTAATCAAGAGGTGCAGCTTGTAATATGAGCAAATGAGTAGGGTATGGAGTTTATAGGTATTCTAGGTATATCTATCTATATAAGAGGACATGTGATAAACCTAACCTTCTCTAATATACCCTTTGCATATATAGAGGTATTGGAAGAACTCTATTATAATTCTGATCATACTACTCAGGTTACTATTTTAACGAATTGTAGAATAACAGAGTGGGATTAGTATTATTATTAGATAAAGGAAATGGATTTGTTTAGATTAGATGGATTAATAGTTAATCAATTAGCTTATTTCAATAATATAGATATTCAGATTATAATTGAGATCGAAATCTATATCAATAAGTTTACGAATATGTTAGACAAAGCAATCCGAGTAATTAGTAAGATTGATTGGAAAATAGAAAAAGCCTTGTTGTAGTGGATAGATGAGTACAGAGAAGCTTATCGAGTATATATAAAAGTATAGAGGGAGTTAAATTCGAAAAGGAAGACTATTATTATTTACTTTTTACAAAAGATAATACAATAAGCTAAGAGATTCTATTGGGCAATATATCTTAACGAAATTAAAGATAATAAAGAATTCTATTGGATTATAGAATAATACAAACTAATCTTCAAAAATAATATAAAATCCCTTTTTCTAATAATCAATAAATAAATGATCTGTAATGTGACGATTGGGTTCAAGGCATAATCGATAATTGATAATGAATAATAAATTGAAGTTAATAATCTATATGAAAGAATATCAAATTATTGAATACAAGAATTAAAAGTATAATATTCTTTTATACCTTTTATTAATAAAACCTTAAGGCGTGCGGATGCACTCGCTGATAAAGGGACAAGAAAATCAGCCTCAGGGCATGCGAATCGACCTACAGCAAGCGGTATCCGCTTTATAGCAAAAACTGCTATGGAATCGGCAGCACAGACGTAATGGATCAAATAGAAATCAATGCTCTCCAAATAATACCAGAAATAGAATCTAAGGAGTATAAACAAATACTTTAATGAACTAGAACTCTCACAAGCTACTCTTTATTGCATACTAGCGATCTGCTCAGCACACAGCAATTTTGAAAGCTATTATCAATAATTTAAATACAAGGAAGCAACGATTTATTATTCATATAATGTATACAAATCCCTTGAGCATATCATGCACTACCACAAAATCCTTGCGATCTACGAAACCTGGCCCTCAGATATCAGGCCCAAATACCCACCCTGCAATTGGGTGGCTTAAGAACAATTACTGAAACAGTTAATACATATATCAACCAAGTTCACTGAATTTATTGCTATAACAAACTTCTATAGAAGCATATGCCCTAGAATGCTATCAGAAGAATAGGAAGAGGAAATGGAAATGGATTGACCGATCCAGGTGAACACAAATACAGAATAGGAGGCGATCGATATAGCAAGGCTATAAAGAACAAAATCGATATATGTAATACTCTACGCTATACTAGAATACATACAAAAGCTATCCTTACAGAATAAAGCAGCTTTCAATCAAAACATTATATAAAAGATCGGAAAGCGTGCACAAAGGCGCTCAGAGGATCGGAGACAAAAGCGCAAGTGCGC